CAGCGGGCTATGCTTGTGTCTTGGTTGATGAGGTGGTGGACCCACCATATTCGGAGCTACAGCTTAACATTCCTGGAGGTGACGGCGAGCGCTTTCTCGGAAAGGCCAAACATCGTATCATCCTATGGAAAAAGGATTGCATCATCTTTCGAAGGCCACCGACACCGCGGCAGTCGACTCCTCATCGAAGTCCGCCACCGAGTCAGCAGACTCCCGCTCCTGCAAGTCCACCAAGTTTGGCAAAGTGTCAGGCCACTCCTCCTCCTCCTCCAAGTCCGCCACAGCGTCAGACGTCCACTCCTCCTCCAAGTCCGGCACAACCTCAGGCCACTCCTCCTCGTCCAACTCAGCCCCGACAGCTGTCTCTGCCGCATTAGCAATCGCAGAAGAGACACCCCGCAGCTATGGTGCATAGCGGTACGAGTCGAGGTAGTACAGGAAGTACAGGCGGAGGCAAGCGATATAAATATGGTCCAAGCCTCACGCCTCTTCTGCAGAGGGCTTATGACAGGTCCGAGGAGGAAATCGCAGCCATATCAAAGGCCGAGGTGGAAGCCCATTTTGCACCGAAACCGCCACCGCCGCCAAGGGCGAAAGTGCCCGAGGAAACGATTGACCACTTCATTCATATGGCTCAACCACCAGCTCCCAAGCCTGTTGACACAGACTATGAGCGCCACATCAGGAAGTTAAATCGAGAACGTCTACAAAGGAAGGCGAGCACGTCTACATCGGGATCGAGCAAACAAGAAGCAGCTGTCAAAAAATACGGGAAAACCATTCGCCAGCTGGGAGAACAGGCGGCGCAATCGATCCCCTCGCTTGTTGTGCCAACAACACGTGACAGTACGCGCGCCCAATATTATTGTGGGCAAACAGTGCACGTTCCCGAGGTGGGCAATGTGGTAATAACGGAGGAGCATATAATGCAGGCTGAAGTTCTCAACATCACTGTTGGACAACTCCTCGAGATCGAGCCCATGCCTTTGCTCAGAGAGGATGAAATAAAACGAAAATATGCCCGGGGCCAACCTTTGGTCGAGCCAGACAAGGTCAAGAACCTCCCAACGAGAATGTATGAATTGCATCAATGGTACATGAACATTACCAAGATTTCAGATCGATTGTCCCTCATGGTGAATGTCAAGGAGGAGCATTACTTCCATGAGAAAGCTGTGTCCGTTGAGTATACTGAACTGTTTCAGTTATACAATCAAGACGCACTCGACAAATCTATCGTCAGTTGCTATTGTCTGTAAGTGATTTCTTTCTGTAATTTAAGCCTCAAGCTAGTTGTAGTGATCCTTTTGATCAATCATTACCTGTAATTATCCTCACTATATTCTTTTCTGTGGTATTATGCAGGATGAAGATGTATGAAATGAGAAAAGGTGGATGCTTTGGCATTGGGTTCATTGACCCAAACACCGTTAATGAATACACATGGCTAATAAATCCACGTCAGCAAAAGAATGTAGAGGACAACATGCTAGAGTTCTTGAAGCGCCTCAAATAGAATGAAGATATACTACTTCCTTACAACTTCCAGTGAGTCACACTGTCTTGTACTACAAATTCTCTGTTTTTGCCTACTAGCTAGCTACATGTTTTTGCTTACATATGCCCGCTTAATTAAGACATGCAAACGTGTGTGCATACAGATTTCACTGGGTCTTGTGTATCGTTAAAGTTGACGCTGGAACAGTTGAAGTACTGGACTCACTACTCAAAGAAAAAACTGACTATAACATCTTGTTTGGGATAGTCAACAGGTAATTTCAATCATTATTAACTATATATCTCGGCCTATTTAGTTCGTCATTCATGATATGAACTATTTAATAACCCCTTTATTCATTTTCTTTGTCGGCGGGCTGGGTTGGGCAAGGTTCATCAGCGTCACGGAAGGCGAATGGAAAAAAAAAACTTAAATGGTTTCGACCCAAGGTAAGTAATTAAGTAGTACTAGCTAGCTAGCTAGCTGCCATCTCTTTAATTATCATGCTTGATTAATTATTATCTAATCAAATTCCATTCTCGTAAAGGCCCTGAAGCAGGCGCAGGGGACTGATATGTGTGCATTCTGCGTTTGCGAGAACATTCGCATGATGGCGTCCGAAAGGAGCAGATCTCAAAGACCGGAATGAGTACGCTTGTCAGAACATTATTCACAATTTTGACACCATTATTGATATCTAGTCACACAACTAATACACATGCATATTGATCTCCTTCTTAACAGTTCAAAGAGGTGCGGGAGAAGCTCCTAGAAATGGAGCGCGTAGAAGCACTTCAAGAGGAAATAGCGGGATTTTTGCTCGACCAGGTCATAAATCCGAAGGGAGAATACTATTACCAGCTACCGCCCCCATGAAAACCACTTCCAATTGTCATCGTGCTCCGAAGGCACCAATTAGGCTAATGCCACTGGCTCCGAAGGCAACATGCATATGTAGGAGAAATTGTATATAGCTATACATGTGTGTATGTGTGAATTAATTAATATGGTGGTATGTGAGACATTGATGATATATATATGCATGATTGGTTCTACTAGAAGTTCTATTTATATATATATATATATATATATATATATATATATATATAATGTGTACAATGTGTAGTATCGTAAAATACTAGCAAACGAAAATGAATTAAAATGGAAACACAAAATTAAATGAAAAAAAATCATAAAACTAAAAAACCCCCAAACCTTATAGTACCCGTTGGTCTTACCAACCGGTACTAAAGGGCTCCTGGCCCCCAGAGCTGGCTCGTGCCACGTGGTTGCCCTTTAGCACCTGTTCGTGCTGAACCGGTACTAAAGGGGGGGGGCCTTTAGTGACCACAATTTAGTGCCGGTTATGGAACCGGCACTAAAGAGCCTTACGAACCGGTGCTATTGCCCGGTTCTGCACTAGTGTGTCTCCTAGATTGGTTTGGTGTCACTTGGGGCCTCCGTCAAGATTGTGGAGATGAACCAAGGAGATTGTAAGGGCAAGGAAATCACCTACTTCGTGAAGATCTACCCAAGTGAGGCAAGTCCTTCATGGGCGATAGCCATGGTGGGATAGACAAGCTTGCTTCTTCGTGGACCCTTCGTGGGTGGAGCCTTCATGGACTTGCGCAACCGTTACCCTTCGTGGGTTGAAGTCTCCATCAACGTGGATGTACGATATCACCACCTATCGGAACCACGCCAAAAATCTCCATGTCTACATTGCGTTTGCCTTCTCCAAACCCTTACCTTTACCATCATATGCAATGTTTTACTTTCCGCTGCTACACTCTTAGAATTGCATGTGTAGGTTGATTGCTTGACTTGTGCTAAGTTGCTAAAATCTGCCAAGACTTAAAACTGGCAAAAGGCTAGATTTTTATTTGGTCAAGTAGTCTAATCACCCCCTCTAGACCTACTTTTGATCCTACACTGCCAAACTATGTTTTACTACTACTCACAGCACTTGCAGAAAATACATTGCTGAAAACTGCTTATCAATTCCTTCTGCTCCTCGTTGGGTTCGATACTCTTATTTTCGAAACAACTATAATTGATTCACTATACTTGTGAGTCGTCAGCGGTGTGTTTGGTGGCCTTCGAAGATTTGATGCAATTTGTGATGGGGTCAGGCTGTCTGGTCCGACGTGGCGGACGCGCTCGGGCCTCCTCATACCCGCCCTAGATTTTTGCTCGATATGAGAGGTGCCGGTTAGCCCGGGCATTTAGGGATGGTAACAGGAGCCTGTCTGGGTTGGTTTTTTTCTTACCAGTCAGCGACCGGTACTAAAGAGGGGGACCTTTAGTCCCCACCCATTAGTGCCGGTTACAGAACCGGCACTAAAGGCCCTTACGAACCGGGGCTATAGCCCGGTTCTGCACTAGTGTGAGATGCCCATCCTTTACCTCATAGAGCCAAGCTTGGTATAGATGACGCAATATTCAATGTGAGGGAGGGGAGGGGATATGGAGGGAGGTTCCACGGTGTAGTACGACACCATGTGGATTTGTCCTTGCGTGTGGGTTGATACAAAGTGCAAATGTGGGCACCTTCTCCCCACCAAGAAAAACACTTTATATATTGTGTATGATATCTATATATATATGTGTGCACTTGAAATTTAAGTACAACTGTACAAGTCACTTGGGTTTTGCTTATTTGGTGAGTATAAGGCAATATTCGTCGCAACACAATCATCATACATGTTGTAAATTATAATGGTGCTTTCATTTTTTTAACTATGCTTTGATTAATATCTCTATTTCTATATTTATTGTTCTGTGACAAGGCACGGCGAAAACATATAATAGAACACCTGCACCCAGGCCCTCCCTATCTAGCCATCCATTCTGCGCATCGCGATTCATGCAAACACATTTCTCATTTTTGTTTCTCTCACATAAAAACATGTTTTGAAGTCCAAACCTTTGCAGCGTGGCAAAGTTTTCTATCTAGAATTTTCTAGATTAAAAAATCATAATTTGTATATTTATATTTGACAAAAAAATCTGAAAGATTTATCCTACATTCTAGATAGAAAGCTTTGCCACGCTGCAAAGGTTTGAATTCAAGACATGTTCTATGTGAGAGAAACAAAAAAGAGAAAATTTCATATAGAAAGTTAGTTGTGTTGCACAGATCTTAAAGCAATATTGGACAGCCAGGATAGCAGGGCCCGGGTGCAGATGTTCTAAAAATCCACGTCCCAAGGCACGGGCATTCAGCTAGTTTTTATGTAAGAGAAAAAAACTTGTCTTTTTTTAGACAAGAGAGATAAGAAATAGACAAAAATGTGTGCATTGAGTGTCCAGAATAGCTAGTATGGCCAAAAAAAGAACTATGCCACACCTTAATTCCATCTCTCTTCTCTTGGCAAAGAGGCACCGCTATTCCCTCCACACCACACAGCCTATTCTCCTCGAAACAAAACCAATCACCGACTACTTCGCCAACGTCGTTTCCAGCATTAACCCCCATGAACGTTCGATTGCACGACATATAATGCAAATAGAACGGCCAAGAGCTGAAATCATGAGCAGCAAGAGGGTGGATGAGTCGGAGCTAAGGAAGGTCTTCCAGATGTTCGACAAGAATGGTGACGGCCAGATCACCAAGAAAGAGCTAAATGAGTTGCTCAAGAACCTAGGGATCTACATTGCAGACGACGAGATGGACGCAACCATGGCCAAGATTGATACCAACGGTGATGGCTGCATCGACGTCGGGGAGTTCGGCCTACTATATCGCTCCATCCTCGATGAAGGCGATGGGCCTAACGGTGGCAACATGGGCGACGAGGAGGAGGAGATGAGGGAGGCGTTCAGTGTCTTCGACCAGAACGGTGACGGCTACATCACCATTGAAGAGCTGCGGTCCGTGCTGGCAAGCCTCGGCCTCAAGCAGGGTCGCACCGTTGAGGAATGCCGCCAAATGATCAACAAGGTCGACGCCAATGGCGACGGCCGCGTCGACTTCAAGGAGTTCAGCCAGATGATGCGCGGTGGCGCAGCCGATCGTGAGGATTGACTTTATTGCATGGGAATGGTTCATTATGGCACTATTAGTAGTTGTAGATAATTAATTTACTTTAACAAGCCAATGATTCAATGTGGATTGTGTAAAATATAGGGTCTAGTATATTGTACTTGTACACCTATTTGTATACATATATAACTGTATTGTGATTATCTATATATTGAGACGTGAGGCTGGATGTCAACCACCCACGCAAAACCCTAAACCCTGTGTTTAACTTGGTACCGGCCAGGTTCGGGCCGTCGCGGCACGCCCCTCGCGCCGCCGCCCGATCCTCTCGCCGCCGCCGCGCGCTGCTCACCTCCGCACCGCCGCTGCGTCTGCTTCCTCCACGCCGCGCTGCTCCATCCGCGCCGCCGCCGAGTCTTCCTTCGCTGCCTCCGCGCGCAGCTTTATACGCGCCGCTGCCGCGAGTTCCTCAGCCGCCGCCACGTGACGTTCTCCTCCGCGCCGCCGCTGCGATGTCGTCCTCCGCCATGTCCGTCGCCCAAACTGCGGGTGCACTCGTCTCGTCCCCCGTCGCCACGATCAACGCCGTGATCACCGTCCCGACGATCTTCGTCCACCTCGGCCGCCACAACTTCATGCTATGGGGGGCATCACCAGCACCGTTCTCCCCGGGGCCAACCTCCATGGACACCTCGATGGTACCTTGACGGCACTAGACCACACACTTGTGGTTGGTACCGGCGATGCCGCTACCACCGTCACCAATCCGGAGTACCACCAATGGTGGGTTCAAGATCAGCGGGTCAAGGGGCTTCTTCTCACCTCCATGGATGAGGACATTGCGTGCCAACTCATTGGCTATGAGTCGGCGCATGCGGTGTGGACCACCTTCGCCGCCATGTTTCGCGCTCAGAGCCGCGCCAATGTTCGCCATATCCGCTGCCAACATGAGTTGCTACGGAAGGACGAGCTGTCCATAGAAGAATACATGCACAAGATGAATGCACTGGCCGACATTATGGCCGCCGCCGGCTCCCCGATCCGCCATGATGAGCTTATTGACCACATCCTCACCGGACTTGGCTCCGCCTACAACTCCATCGCTGCCTCCTTGGGTGTGACCAACGCACCCATGCCCTACTCCAGCTTTTACTCACTGGTTCTGTCCTTCGAGGCGCCGCAGGCACAACAGAGTGCGGTGGAGTGGTGGTCTCCCTCCACGAACGCCGTGACCCGTTCGGGCTCATACGGCGCGTGCGGAGACGTGACCTACTCCGATCCATATCCCTCCCGGGGGGGCTGATGGACACGGCCAGCTAGGGAAGGGCCGCCAGTGAGGTAATGGCGGCAACACCGGTGGCCGTGACCGCAACGCTGGTTATGCCAGCAATGGCGACAAAGTGAATGGGGCACCGCTGGCAACAACGGCGGAAGAGGTGGTCGTCGGACTCACTGGCGTCCCTGGTGCCAAATTTGCAAGAACTGGGGCCATGAAGCTGACGACTGTCGCAAGCGCTATGATGAGGATCACAACTCTCGCTCCACCAACTCGCACTACTAGGGAAAAGCCTAGCAGCAGCGAGGGTTTTAGGCCTATCAATAGTGCGGGCAGGAGCGCTACTGGTACGGCGCTACAGCTAAAGGTTAGCAGTAGCGTGTCTCAACACACGCTACTGCTAAATCGACATAGTAGTAGCGCTTCCCCAGAGGAGGGCTACTGGTAATTAGTAGTAGCGCTTCTCCCTGCCCGCGCTACTACTATTATTTTGTATTTTCTTATTTCATGTTGTATTCATACACCTTTACACAAGTTTTCATACAACAGGATTTTAAAGATTGTTCACATCATAATGAGTTATTACATCACGGGGTGAAAGAACCGTGGACTAGTTTCAAGTGGATGTCCATCCACTTAAAACTAATCCGCGGTTCTTTCACCCAATGATATAATAAATATCATCATCATCATCATATCATTAACAACTTATCATCAATAATACATCATTGTCATATAACACCTCCTCAAGATCATCGTTTTCATCAATGACATCACATAGCAAATTGGTCACTAGTCGTAATCACGAGTACTCCTCATCATCAACTCTAACACATTGTACCACATAATAAACATATTGTACCTCATAGGACCTACTACATTCTCTTAGGACCTACTACATTCTCTAAGGTAAAATAGCAAAAAACAAAATAGCAAAAAACAAAATGGAGAATGGAGATTATCCTGTCTTCAATTCTTGCCTTTCGCTTAATGTTACTTACAAGGACCTCCTTGCGAATGTCCAATTTTTTTTTCCATTCTTTGATGAGCATGTGTTCACCGGTTTTAGAAATCCGATATGCGCAGGTGAGCTCCCTAGATTGACCTGGCAGTATGTTCAGAACTGCAAGACAACCATTCAGATACATCAGATGAGGCACACAATCCAACGGGATTTTTTGTTGAAAAACGTAGTAATAACTTCGTAGTTAGCAATGATGTACTAGTTTTAGAAGTATGCAAAAGATGTACGGATGTCGTAATAGTAAAAAATCTTACCAGCGTATCTCCGTTGAAGTTACCGTGGTTCAACACGTGCACTAGTGGCACATATTCACCATAATTTGGAGGAGCTCGATAATAGGTATTGTAATTCTCAAGATAAGTACAAAATGCGATCAGATGACTTTTCTCCTTATAAGTTAATCTGGAGCCATCAATGTAGTGGGTTTTTTCTACCATCTTCCACACATTCTTTGAAGAATCAAAATAAGTTGTCAATGGAAAGAAGCTGTCAACTATTTTGAAATAAACAATATAAATTAGTTAATAACTACGTTTGAGAAACTCACATTGTGGTAGAATCGGAAGCGTATCAACAAGGACCCAAGTATCCATATTGTCTTGCTCTATGTCAGGATCACCAAGATCCATGGTGGCAATCATACCCTCATAAAAACCATACATTTTGCAAAGTACTTCCCAATTTTAGCAACCAAAATGGGTTACGCTCTGAGAATTGTACACATTTACTTCAAAATCCATATCATGATGGGTCCTTAGGTGTATTTTCTTTGTTTCAAAATTTTCATGGTCTTCAAAACCCATCCTCTCCAAGACATAGCGTCTTGCATGGCATGGGATAAGCTAGTCGACTTGTAAAAGATGAAAATTTGACGTTGAAATAGTTGAAGTCATGCTTAATTATGAAAAAAACACTTGTCGTTGTTGCGTACAATTTCAACACCGAAGGTCTCCTCGAGCTTAATGCTGAAGCGCCGATCTTCGTCCAGCTCAAGGAACCTGTCGCACAGACCTCGATCGCCGTAGCACCAGCTGCACTCCTCCGGGAGACTGTCGTCGTCCGAGTACGACATTTCCTAGGTTCATAATTCAAAGATTAAACTTCTACAATTAAATACATGTACTAAAAAACCTAAATTAAATAATTATTTTTTGAGAAAATTCAGGCCACTCAATATTTCCTACATATTCTAGCACAAGTCATGGCAAAATTCACGGAAAAATCCGGCATGACCTTTGCTAAAAAAGGACATATCGAGTGCCTGAAATTTACTGGAACGGAAATTAATCAACACTCCGGCAAAACATAGGCCACTTGGAGGTGTAATCTGAACATGAACGGCCACTTGGGCAACCACATATCCTATTTGAGCAACACAATATATACATGGAGATTTGGCTGGTCACACCTCGAGGTCGGAGGGGTTCGGTGACGGGGACGACGGCGGGGATAATGGAGGGGCTCCTTGATTTCTGCAAAAGCAAAAACCCTATAAGTTATCACTAATACATCCCGAATAATTTCTTAAACTAAAAATATAATAACAAATATGACATGTTCAACTAGTTTTATTAATTCAACTAGTTCTTACTAAATATAAACTTACTAAAAATGGAAAAAAACTAGTTATTTCTAAAAATAAAGTAGTTCAACTAGTTATATTAATTATCTTACTAAAAATACATCAGTTCTATTAATTCAACTAGTTTATTAATTTACTTACTAAACTAGTTCAACTAAAACTAAACTAGTTCAACTAGTTTATTAATTTACTTACTAGTTATTTTAAACACTTACTAAAAACAGTAAAAATAAACTACATTATACAATAGTAAAAAATATCTACTATTAACCATAGTGCCCTAGTTAACTAGTACCGTCACTACTACTAATTAACATCTACTACTACTAAAAATCATTATCTATGAACCCTAAATTAACACCTACTACTACTAAACAACGTCTAGTACTAACTAAGCAGAGAGAAAGGGGGTGGGGGACGGGTGGGGGGCTTACAGAGAGGGGAGAG